GACCCTAACTCTTCATGTTCATCTTCTACTTCAAACTAGCTCTTTGACATGGTTGGGTCAGACTTCTCACCACTCTGCAGGAATATATAGAATGAATCCTCAACTCTCAGTATTCCATAAGACATGGTCCCTGTATTCAAAGGAGCTCAGAGTGTAGAGAGACAGATTGACTATAACAGAGGTTAGTGAGGAGTTGTCCATCTTTATGAATGAAGGTGTATGGGAAAGCAGATGAAGGGGAGAGTAATTCAACTTCCTCTCAGAGGAAGCAACATCTGAATCAGTCTTGAAGAATAAACACAATGTCATTTTGGCCAGAAAGAACAGCATGACAAGTCCTGAAAGTGAACAGTCCTCTTGTACAGCATTGAGGCAGGTGACAGAAGGATGTCTTCAACCTCTGTTGAAGCTAACAAGAGCCAGGCTGCAAAATGCTTTGCTGCTCAACCAAGAAGCCTAAAAGAGAAGCCTTCCTCTTCCTGAATTCCTGGAGCAATTATTCTTGTGCACACATTTTGACAATAATTTTTCCTGTATGTACTTTTTATTTTTGGTACTAGGAATTGAAAACAGGGCCTCACACTTGTTAGACAAGCACTCTATCAGTTGAGTTATGCCCCTAGCCTCCTTTTTTGTTTTATTTTGTTTTTGGCAGGATCTCATTAATTTTGCTCAGGCTGGCCTAGAACTCTCAATCCTCCTGTCTCTGCCTCCCCAGTAGCTGGGATTACAGTGTAAGAGACCACATTTGGCTCTTATTTGTTTCTCAGCTCTTTCCTTGGAGTGCATTCCATGGGATTGGAGACAGTATGGAATAGAGGTGAAAAGTACAGGCATAGATTTTTGTTCACTGTCTACTATTCTTACTGTCCCCATTTCTGAGTGCATATTACAGCACCTCTGATTGCTACCCTCTTCCTTTGAAAATGAAGATGGTGACAGTTTCCATATGATAGGGTCCCTATGATAATTTATAACTGTTTAGCAAATGTTTGCTACACATTATCCTATTCTATTTATTTATTTTTTTTTTTGTGGTGCTAGGAATTGAACATACTCATTATTTGATAAGCATTAATTGACCACTTATAATCAAGCAGTACTTAAGCTATATTCTTATTATATGGTAACAAGTTAAACAGACTAGGCTTTGTAGTCTAGTAACTATTTTATTATTACTATTATTAGTAAGGGAGATCTTTAATAAATACTCTGGAAACAAGTTAATGTGTTCTAGCCATATTCATACTGTACCCCTGTTGGGTTGATTCCCTCTTTCTATGGTCCTGGAGTGGGCCATGTGACTGATTGACTGACAAGAGCTCTCACATCCAGTGCTGATGTAGTCCCTGAATTCACATTTTTGTGCAATCTTTATAAAGCCATCTTTTTAAAAAAATTAATTTATTCACATGTGCATACATTTTTTGGGTCATTTCTCCCCCCCCACCCCCCACGCTAGAGCCATCTTTCTAACTCTATTCTATAGGCATAGTGGCCCTGGAGGGCTCTAGATAAGAGCGACCTGGGCATGGCTTATTCAAATTTGGGCTGGCTGAACTGCTCTTAAAACTTGCAATTACTAGTGTTCCAAAATCCTGGGATTCTATATATTTTCGCTGCTGGTGCAGTGTGCCTAAGGGGGTGCAACTACTGATCTCTAAGGAGTAGAATCACTAGCAGCACAGAAAGGGAGTTAAGTAGACATGGAAATCATCTCTAAAGCCAGCTTGGGTCTATTGGATTCTGGCATTAGAATGACTGGGCAGTGTAGGGCAGGCCATCACAGCTCTTCTAAGTTGAGTAATAGTAACTTCTCAGCACAACTATAAGAATGAAACCTGTAACAGCTTACTGATAAACAAGGTTGGGTTTTGTTTTTTGGTTGGTTGGTTGGTTGGTTTTTGAGGCAGGTTCTTGCTATGAAGCCCAGGCTGGCCTCAAATTGTCTATTCTTCTGCCTCAGCCTCCCAAGTGATGGAAATACAAACATACAGTACCATACACATACACAGCTAAACAAGTTTTTTTTTTTTCTTCCTTTACATTGTGTTCTTCTAATTTTGCCTGTTTATTTAGCTTTTTTACCTTAAGTGTTTTTTTCAGCAACTGTGTATCCTGGGTGCAGATTGTTTTTGATTACCAGTTGCTTTCTTTTCCCTGAAGGAGAAGTCCTAAGAAGTCTACCAGCACCACCATAACCTGTGGTCAGGATTTGGGCACAACGTTACATTTTCCTGTGTGCAGTCACTGCCTTTACTCTACTTGCTCATTCTTTCTCCTGTTTCCTTTTGGTTGACCTAATAATTACTTTGAGTTGTGTTCTGTTTTTGTTGTTGTTGTTATTGTTGTTTTTTGTGTGATACTGGGGCTTGAACTCAGAGCCTCACACTTGCTAGGCAGGCACTCTATTACCTGAGCCACTCTGTCAGTCCTTGATTGTGTTCTGAATAGAGTTTATGTAAGCTAAGGATTCCAAGATTAACATTAGGCAACGAATTTTAGAAAAATATCTTTGAAAATTGCCTCTTAGAGAAAATTTCAAGCTTAAAGAAGATAATACAAGCAGATATGACCCATATTGAGTCTGAGATCTAGATATTCAGAATGGGGCAAAATTTGAAACTGATTGCCAAATCACTCTATCCTTTTATTTATTTTATTTTTCTTTTGGTGGTACTGGGGTTGAACTCAACCTCACGCTTGCTGGGCAGGCATTTTACTATTTGAGCCATGCCTCCATCCCCACGGTACCCTATCTTAATGAAACTACTTCAAAATACATTTCATAAAAGAATGCCCAGTCTCCAAGGAAATATGTGTAACATTTGGACCTATGACATTGTGTCTTCAAATTTAAAAGGATATCTTATGTATATTAAATACCTAATAGATAGCTTGGAAATTACTATGATGATATAAATCTCCTGCGAAGTCATGGGTTTTAATAAAATACATTATCTTCATCAGAAAATTAGGGGTTGTGGATGAAGGTGTCTGCTCAAGAGGACATCCTGAGAAAGAGCCTTAACCTAAGTTAAACAAGCAACCACAAAACAAAAACAATTCTGTAATTACACAGGAGAGGTGACCAGCAGCTTCTGGGTGAAGCCACATGGTATATTTCAAGCTCACCTCTTACCCACATCCTCCATGTGGTGAGTCAGGGCCCTTCAACCCGAAGTAACCTGACTCAATAAACAGACTCTGCCTGCAATGTCTCACATGCAGAATCGCATCCCCAATCCCACCTTGTCTTCACAACTAAATAATGTTTATTTTTGAATCAAACAATTAGTGAATTGTAGATTGTGACAGATAGTACAAGAAGACAGGGAAACAGGAGTCCTAGTCATCCTCAAAGTCTGTGAAAGCTGGACAAATCTTAGTTACTTGCACCATAGGTGTGTTGAAGGAGGACGTTATCTTGGGGTCTTTCTATTGTCCAAAAATACTTTGTCTTCAATCCTGCCCAGAAAAAAATTAAAGGGCCACATTCTAGACATTCAGGACTGACTGCCTGGTAGAGATTAAGTTTGGAGAGATTCATCTCAGTAGGGTCAGAGCCAAAGCTGAGGTAATGGGCGTGTGCCATCAAGGCTCCAGTCCGTCCCAGGCTGGCTGCCATCAACCTTGCTCAGTCCGCATGGAGACCAGGCATCTGAACCAGCATTTACTCTTGGTTTGAAGGAAGATCTCAAACAATGCTTCAATTGATTTTTCAAGTAATTCTGAATCAGGCAGGTCAAGGAGTGAGGTTAAATGGGAACTTCACCAAACCAGCCTTGGCTCGCATACTCTAGTTAGCTATCTTCAGGAGTGATTCCTAAGCACTAATCATATATAAAGTACTGTGATACACAGTAGTCCATGCCTTCAAAGAATTTTCAAACCAGAGGGGAAAATGAGACATACAAAAGTAACAATAAGGTAAAAATTGTATGTTCTTTGAGAGAAATAACAATGAAGAATTATGCTGAATTCAAAAGCAAGAGAGAGTATATTTGATGAGGGTATCTGAAAAGGTTTCATGTTTTCAACATGGGGATGATTCTGAGAGGTAGAGACTTTGAGAGAAAAGAGGGGATCCTAGGCAGAGGAGATAGAAAAAATATCTTAGGTCAGCCTATGTCCCCTTTAACCATACCTGCCCAAATGAGGAAAGCAATTGCATTCAAACTGTATTAATGTCACCTACAGCCTACCTTTCCTTTTCTGCATTATATGTAACTTAGTAAATTGTGATAGGAGGTGGGGCCCAGTAAAGTTACTTTCCTTCAAATCAAACCACCAAGCTGTAGGTTAAAGATTAATACTTCCATAGTGTATCACCTAAAATGATGTGCTAAAGCTTTTTCAGCTGAGCTCTGACTTTATTGACTTAAAGCATTTTAATGACACTTAAAATACAGTAAGAGTCCCTGGGATCTGAGTCTGTGCCCAGGGCCTATAAAATTCTCTCTGTGCCCTGTCTCTGCCAGAGCAGGTACTGTGTGCAGAAAAGAAGACAGGAGAGTGCAGGACAAGTCCTACTGGCCTGGCAAGGGTCCCACCTAATTCCTTATGACGTGTCAAGTGCAGGTGACATGTTCTCTAAGGTGTGGATAGGCAGTTAATTTCATGGAGAGTAGGAGGTGTGGGTTCACCCTTTTTTTTTTTCCACAGTGAAACATTATCTGGATGATACTCATTCTCTCTTGAGTCTGGACTTCATGCAACAGGCACTGACTGGATATTATTTTTAAATAAGCACAAACCACTCAAAGACACTGGTTTGGGTCCTGGATTTGGAGGAAGAGTTGGCTGAAAAGTGCTTCTTGGTCAAAGATTAATTGGAAGAAACGAGAAGAACTGTGGGTTTCTTACCCCAGCCCCACAAGAAACTATGCCGTGAAAAGGCTACTGACCCATTGACACACCCAGCACATTGCCCTGAGTTTCAATTCCTCCTTTGAAGAGTGGAGGAAAAGGGAGAATTTCCTTACTGACGTGTTTGAAGGATGGCTTCTCAGTTTCACCAGCTTCGAGTCCTAGTGTGGAAAAATTGGCTTGGTGTCAAAAGGCAGCCGGTGAGTTAAAAAAAAAAAAGTGGGGGCATGGGGAAAGGGGCAATACTCTGGGCAATCCTTAAAGGTGATGTTAATGAGAGGTAAAAAGAGTTTAAAGGTATTTTTCAAAGCAGAAAATAAGATATTTAAAATTCATCCCTCCATCTGTCTTTTAGCTAATGGGGCGAGTCTTAACATGCCCCCAAAGCAGTCTTTTGATTTCAGTAAATTAAAAGAGTAAATCAGGACATGCCCTGGGCAAAGAAAAGGATGTGCTTCGTTACTGGTGGAACTGGAACTAGTGTTAGATTCTGAGTTCAGGCCAAAATGCTTTCAGAATTTTTCTTAATGAATTTAATTAAAAGTGGGATGAATGAAAGTAAAGTACAATTTGACATCATTTGAAATGGGAGGAAATGTACTGGAAACCCAAAGGCAATGGAAAGTTTGGTTGAAAAGTAAGATATAGAAAGAGTTTGAAAGCTGTTAGCATAGAAAAGCTTCTAAGGAATTGTAGTATATAAAAGTCATTTACTGAAAATGACAAACAAGAGTATGTGTGTGTGCATGTTTGTATATATGTGTATATATATTGTATATAAAGACACATATGTATATTACATGTTTTAAGAATATTATTGAGTGACTTTAACACTTTGTCTTCTTTTTGCTCCCTGCAACATCTTTTCTGTGCTCTTACGTTAATGTTTGCTTTTTAAATTACAAAGCCATCTATTAGAGCCTAGCAGATAGAGTCCAGGGAGGAGGAAGAAATTGGTTCCTGTGAATTATCATGTATTCTGAAGAATTGTTGAAAACCAGGAAAATCCAAAAAGACATTCAGTATACTTCATTTTAGAGTAGCAATTCTCAGCCTCAATTGAGTAATATAAATATGTAAATATGTGTCATAGAAAGAATCATTTTATGTAGGTCCTGTACCTCGCTCTAAGCTTGCTTGCTGTGCCTGAAATTTTACTTAGTGTTCTGATGTATGCAATAAGACAAAGAACTAGATGCCCACTTACCTTTGTGAATTTGACGGGCTGGGTTTAAAACCAAAAAGTGCGATATGATTGCATAGGTGTGTTAGACAAAATTATAAATTAATATTAATACTATATTAATGGGTATCAATATGATATATTAATATTTTGTTTTTTAATTTTAAAAAAGCACAAAAGAAAAATTCCTCATGTAATAATTTCACGTGATTGGTTTGCATGTGGCTTTCAGCAGGGAGAGTCCTGAGTATGTGGAAAGATCAGGATGTGAATTAGGGCTCCTCCCAGGACATAAATAGCAAATAACACGTTCTGTGAACACTGGTTTTCCCGCTTGTAAAATGGGCACAAAGCCTGCCATATCTAACCCATGAGGTGGGAAGATCTAAATATGCTCTTAATTTAAAAGTGCTTTATAAATAATGAAACACTTAACAGATTATTGAGGGGTTTGGGGCAGTGCCTGTGCCATATGTTGTTTGATTAATGGTGAAAGGAAATCCAATAGAACGGAGTGTTGGGGAGAGCAAAAAACCTTACATAAAGTTTGGAAGTAATGGAAATTCAAACCTTAACAACAAAAGCATAAAGAAACTATGCTAAATAAACTGGTGTATTTGTTACTGTTGATAAACTGAATGCTGAGGCTGTATGCCTACCTTAAAACTTTTTAAAATTTACCAAAATACCCCACAATAAAAAGAAAAAAAATCAAGTGAATGAAGTATTTTCATTGAAAAATTTCGGCCTTAGAAATTTTAATAAGTTCCTTCCTCATCTATATAAAGCAATGGGTATATATTAACACTTTAGGATTTCTCTCCATTTTAGTCAGTTGCTGCTGGAGTTGCATATTTAGAGGAGATGCAAGTCAGATATGCTAAATGTGTTTCAGCATGATACCATGATAATACACACCTCATAATACCTTATACAAGATACATTATTCCCATGTAGCCAAAACCCCTAAAAAGCCTCTACTTTTCCTAGGGAAGGAGAATACATGAGCTATTAGTTCATTTTGGGACATGGACTGATTCAAATCTTAAATGCACCTTGAGAGTATGGGCCAAGGACAGATAAGTTTGGACTGTAGGAAGTACAGTCAGAAAAAGACTGTACTTGGAGAAATACAGAAGTCCTACCTGAGTCCATTACAACTACCAGAAAGACAAGAGAGACCTAAAGAAGATGGCAGTGGCAAAAGGAAAAGAAAGGACAATTCTACATGGAGAATGAGAGAGCAAAGATACATTTCTTTTGTCATAGTTTTGCCTAGGGCTAAGCTCTATTTCTTGGCATTGGGAGAAGGAAGACTTGAGGACACAAGGAAATATATAGAAGAATTACACTTAAAGGAAATATCAAAGAAGGAAGAGTATGGAGAGTTATGACAAAGTATCTCAAGGGAAATAAAATGAAAAAAAATTGTGAGAGAAAATATAGACAAATTGGAAGACAGACAATGTAAAAAGAAAAGATGCATATAAATTATAAATTAAGAAGAGGACATAATCTTTGTGTAGGCACAAGACATAGTCATCCATTAATCAATGATTTAAAATGCCAAGTATTTTAATCTCTATATTTATGTTCATTCTGAAAATGGCACCTGACAAATAGAATTTTCTACCAAGAGAACGGAAATTAAGTTGTGTGGCACTGGAAATATATTGTCCTTTGTGAATATTATGGGAAAATACTAACATCACTACCATGATAACCTTCCTCAATTTTTAAGCTATTCTATCACAAAGTAAGGTAGTAGGAAAGGAAGAGTTAGGAATTTATTAATGGAGAATCAGATAGCATATAAAAAAGATACAATAAAATATTAAGGTAGATTGGGATTACTGAGGACATATAAAACTATATGCTCAAACACAAAGCAAGATAAGAATTACATGCGACTGTATAGTTTGAGAAATAGAATGAGAAAAGGATAAGCTAAATGTTGAGTCTGGCTACAATTTTTAAGGTTGACTTCCATTACAATTGTACACAAAGTAAATCTCTGCTTTATGGAAGCAAAGGTAAGAATTGTGGAATATTTGGAATTATGTAACTGGCAATTTTGCAGTCCCAGAGAACTCAAGGGACTTGTCCAAGGTCACACAAAGAGATTTTACCAATCATGAAATCTACTGATTGCATTGTCTACTGTCAACTGTTCCTGAGTCAAGTTTTCTTTCCCAATATTCTCTGATCTCTGCTCAGAGTTCAGCATACCAAACAAAAGGTCATATCTGCTAAGTAGATCATAGATATTTCTATTTTTAATATTTTTGATAAAAATGAATCCTCAATTATATTGAAAAATGAATACCAAAGAGAATGAAGTAAATGCATTAAATACCAAAAGAAATGTTAAGTAATAGAGAAAATCAATTAGATGCACTTGTAACCCTGCTGGGCTTAGAATTTAACTCTAAAAATAATGGAATAATGAAGATACATTCTGGAGGAGATATATAGCAACAGGGAGGCTCACCTAATGAGATTCTAGTTAATGACAGGGAGCAGAGTCGTAGGACAGCAAAGAACTGCAGGCTGAAAGACTACAAAATACAAGGCAACAGTTCATCTTTCATTAAGAAAATGGGTCCTAAAAAGACATATCAAGGAGAGACTTCCGATCTGTAAGAAGTGAACTCTGATTTCAAATTTCTGTCATGAAGAAGAAAAACTTAATGCTACTGGATTATTATCTGTTAATATTTAGATAAGGAATTATACTTTACCTCAGATGATGGTAGAACTGGCTATTGTGGACATTCTCACATTTTGTACAATTCACTCTACAATGTGATCAAATGTCCCAGTCTCTTACTTCTTTTGAATTAGGATCATTTACTCCCTTAATTCCTTTTAATTACAAAATATTAGTTCTATATGATTGTGGTGCCCACTCCAGAGTAGACACGTGCATTTTTAAAATTTAGTCAATCAGTAGCATAAATGACGTGAAGGTATTTCAGAAATGGGAGCAATAGACAAATAAGTTGACTTAATGTTCAAAAAAATGTGTCGTTTCTCTACATGTCATAGAAAACATACCAATCTCCAAAATTTATTGTAATCTGTAAGTATGGAATTCAGAAAAAAATTATTTGCTCCTAATTTTTAGCTGTGCCATTTATATGGATGGCAGTGTTCAATAGCAGAAGCCAAACTGCTTGAGGACTCTATGCCATTTGTATTTTCTCATTTTGGGGGTGGAACTAAGGTTTATTCCAAAAAGTATCGAACTCTTATTTCAGAAAGTAAACCTTGGAATCCTCTTGTTGCTATCAAATAACAGTTGTCCCTGTCTTATAGAACAATGCCAAAAGAAAGGGATAGAAGACAAAAAAAGAGACAGTGTACTTTATGTTATGGAAGGTTGGGCAATTTTTATTTTCAAGTTTGTAATAAAAAGTATGATTCTAAGTTATAGGAAGACCTTTAAATGACCTTTAATGGTTTTTAGCATTAAAATAATAAAAAAACCTTTTTATTAGTCTCAAGGCTGAACTAATAAAAGTATAATATTCAGATAAAAGAGAGTCAGTTATCTGTTCTGTAGTGCTTTATCTATGTAGCTCAATGGTTAACTGTGCTGGTGCTGAAGCCACTCTAGGTTCAAACACCAGCTCTACCTCTTAGTGGCTTCAGAAAAGAAAGCTTACTTAGTCTCATCAGGATTTGATTTTTCCATCTGCAAGAAGAAATGAGCTTATCATGTTAAATGAGATAATGCACGTTAAGTACTTAACAGCATATTGTACATTCCAAGCAGTCAATGCATATTATCTGTTACATTTGGAATATTATATTAAACTCTGATGTTAATTATAAAAGACTGCTTGACAATGAGAAATCATTCTGGAGGAAAACACTTTGAAACAAGATTCGATAGAGAATTGTTGAAGATACCCAGGAGGAGAGGAGACTGTCTTTCTTCAAATACTTGTGGAATTCTTATCTGGTAGTGGTGGACAAAGAAAACAAATGAATGGTAGTCACGGAAAGAAAGAC